CTTGTTTTAATTTTCTTACAATTATTGTACTATGTATTGGAATAAAAGAATTCAAAAACATTTTATTGCTATTCATATCTACAAATACATCTCTTATATGGAATCAATATGAGCACAAACTATTTGAGAATAATATTCAAACAAACAAATACCTTTTGTCCTAGCTATCATTATTGATTTGTATTCTTACAAATATAGCTATACAGCAACCTGATTATATGAGTTTTTGAATAAAGAAATATCAATGCAGTTAGTTCATACATTTTGACAACTAAGTTGATACACCGATTTAACTACCTTTCATTGATTACAGATTTGTTTCTCTTACAATATAAATTTTTATATTCAGAAGTATATCTATTTATATTATTCTAGACTTCTATTAACTATTCCTTGTATATATTTTTTGAAAAGAAATCTAACAGTCGTTTAATACGTAATTTCGTAATTTTGTAGCTACAGTGTTACAGTTTAATGCTTGACTACCACATCAAATTTATCGGTTTCTGTAAATTAATTAATACCATTTTATCCTATTATTTGCACTATAACACATTACGTTAATTGGGTTAATAAATTAAAGGCGAAGTTAGGTTTATTATTGTAATGCACAACAATAAGTTCCTTAGAGAACATTCGACTAATGATGTTATATAATATACTACTACTACTAATCAAATTAATTAAAAAGGGATGAAAATTACAACGTGAAAGCAGACATTAATCTTCTAAACAAATCATTGTTTCTCTGATCAGAGTCCAACCACAAAAATCCTATCGAAGCATTTCAATTAAATCTTGAAAGGTTTCAGCTGGGGGAATGCTCATCGCTTAGACAAAGGACTTACAAAGCCGTTTCAGGTAATTAATCCTCTTGGAATTCTTTTAGAAGTTGCCAGTCAGGGAAAATAATCACAATCTACCGGGTACCCTGACAAAAGATCAAACAGTCTTCCTTTTGTCAAGGTTTTATTTTACTAGCATCATAGTGTTACGCTAATATATTTAATGCATGTTCTTGTCTATTTCAATGTCAAACAATAACTTGAAACAAATACATGGAAACCATACATCGATATTTATTTTTATATAGGTACAAGTCAATCTTCGAAATTTTAAATCGTTATTTTTAGTTGAGGATAAAATACCAAATTAAAAACTAATTTTATTGTATGTCTAAATGTAGTTAAAATAAATAAAAATTGTATAGCCAAGTTGTATACTTTTATTGTAGTAAGAACAATAATTAATATATTTATTAAAATAACCACTAAACTGAAAGAAACATAAGACTCCGCTTCGGGTAGTGTAAATGTACATTCAAAAGTCACTATTCTCCAGTACAACATAAAATTCGAGTACAAGGTGGACTTTAAGCTAAAAGCATTCTGCCATATATGCAAAAAAAAAAAAAATACAGCGGATTTGTACGCGGAAACAATTATTTTTCGTTCCCTCGGGAATGTCCAAAAATTTCTACACAATGTGTGGAAAACTTTCTAGAATTTGTTCTTTTTACTATGTACCTATTAACAATTTCAAATTTAAATCTAATACTGCCAAATTTTTCTTTTTTATTCTTCTTACATTATATTTGAATATAAGTCAATACAGTTTTATATTTTGCTAACGACATCCAGATTTTGAACAAAAAAGCTTTTGGAGTATTCATTCTTCTTTTATAATAACTAAATAAATAATTATTTAATGCTAACTTATAGTACGCACAGATTTCAAAAGTAGGAAATCCAGTGAAATGGACCACTTCTAGATACTGTATCATAATAAATCATACACCAGATTATAAATTAGATTTTCAAGAACACAGAGAAAACATATCGAAGCAACAACTTTTATTTAATCAGTAAAAATCTCACTCAGATTGTTTCGATATTTACTTATGAATGACTTTATAGGATTCTATACCCTTTAATTATTATATTTACAGTAATTAGGTTTATCAAGAAGATATAAGGTCAAACTTTATAAAAGCATATTATATATGCGGTTAGCCGACTGTGTTTGGTTGTTGATCCGTGCATCAAAACTTTTGTAGCTCAAGTTCCATCTCTATGAAACTTTAGAAGAAAGTTGAATGCTGAGTAAAATTATCTTAATTGAGGTGTCGTTGAAGAGTTCTTATAAAATTTTATCCCAAATGGTACTTCTTTAAACGATAAACTATCTAAAAGTATCAAAAACTTTTAATTAGTCTCATGACTTAAGTAATAAAGTCGATAGTAATTAACAACAATAGTGCTATGTATGTATTTATAGTATTAATAATAGAAAGTACTCTCTCAACATTCTCAACTCTCTGGACTTATGTCCACGGTACTGTTCATATCTATAGGTAGGCCGTCAGTTTGGTTGCCATTCTAAATTTATTAAAAAGTAGTTATTATTAGAATCCAAATAACATATTTAATCAACTAAGATTAGGAAACCAGCATTGGACCATTATAAATTATTTCTCAGTCCACAATTGGGTCAACATCTTAAACACTAACACTTCATAATATCAACTGTTATTTCCGCCTCAGCACTCTGTAGCTATCTTTTAAACCAGAAAATGGACGGTACAGAGAAGTTATAAAAAGAAATACGACATCCCGCATCTCTGTTTATTACTGTACATTAGTTATACTGCTTCCGTAGTGTCGTCTCGGCATGAAATGGGAACTAATGAGATTTTGATGTTTTTTTGACTGTGCTTTTATTTTCCTTGGTAACGTAAAGATGCTCCTTGGAACCTTAGTGTATAACCACACTAGGTACCATATTATTTTAACGGTCGGCAGAGGTAATATCTTATTGTACTAGTTACACTCGACGCCTTACTGTACTGACCGTGTTTGAATGAAACGAAACTATCTACAAAGTCATTACAAGTTATACTTCGAATCTTTTAACTGTTGATAGTCGAGTCGAGGAAGTTTACGAAAATAAAACTTTCTCCTCTTTATACAAAACGCGATATGCTAGAAACTTTACTATCTCTATTTTTGCAACAAATATCGCAGAGAGAGCGTTGCTGTTATTATTCTTTGGATGCTTGGCTTTATCGGTGTTTTTTATGTGTTTTTTAACAATGATAAATAATATGCAGGAGGTGATATCAGTGTATAAATAAATGAAAATATAAATGATTCACAATTCTATAGGTAGATATTAGTATCAGTTTTGACTGAATAGGTGTCCATAAGTAGCCTTCACTGATATCATATCTAAACTATTTATACATCATACGTATGTTTATCTTATCAGGAAAAAGTCAGTTTAGCAACGTATTTGCAGTATAATACAATTGAACGGTAGAACTATATGAATACATTAATCTACCTAGTTGGTTGGGGGAAAGGGAATGTTAATAATAAGGTCGAAAAGCCCCATTATCAGCAGTATACCCCATCAGTTCACCCTTCGTGCGGCTTCTCTTAAAAACTATCGTAATTCATTCTTATAAAATTCACTATATAGGCTAACTGATCTGCTTTCGTCCTCATCTCATCATCACTTACTGGTACCCCGCCAGCGTGTATTGACAACACAAGCGGGGTTACCGTTACACATTTTCACCCATTAAAAAAAGCCCAGTAGATTTGTACTTACACTAGCCGCAACTTTAATATACATACACCGTATTTGCATGTATAACAAAATAATATTGTATTTTACATAGTTCATTTTAAATTTTTGCATTGTTTATAGATATTTTAAATACACTATCAGTACAATTTAACGCGATGAAAATTTTATGCAGGTAAATAGTACCCACATATCTTCTTTATTGCCAACGTTGATTGCACCACGATATTGTATTTAAATAATAATGTATACTGTTTTATAGAATTATTTATCTAAATCTTCAAATTTGAATGTAATAATTCGATTAAGACATTGTTCATTATATAGGAGTTAGATACTGTCAATTCTTTAACAACTATAAGAAATATGTGCATTTTCAGCGCGAACTTGTTTTAAGTCAAAACATACTAGAATGTCTATCTAACATTTCCATATATCGCTGTCGAGTAAGCAAAGCGAACGTAGTGCTCGTGAAGAAACAATATGTACTGTTTACAAACCACCAGCTTATTTTGTGTGATCCGTCCCTGCTGTATAATATTTTGGTTCCACCAACGACGTTCACTATACAAACATTTAAAAGCCCCTGCAAGGAATCATCATAATGTGAGCTTCACTTTTGTTATGCAGATTAATGTGAAATTTAACAATGTACTATTACTATTATATTAGTAGATATACTGTACGACTATAAATATCTGGGCAGAAATAAATTTAAATAACATAATGTTTTTTTTTTTTATTCAGGCATTGTACTATATCTGTAAATATTTATTATTAACCTACACTATAAATTTTACAACAAAGTAACAGCTCTTTTAATGCTTAATAGTTACAGAAATCTATGTTATTTACTATAGAAAAACTATCTAATACTTCGTACATATATGAAGTTTTTAAAGAATAACTCGACAAGAAGCACATTTACGACACAGGATATCATTATTGGAAATCACAGTGTATACGGCTATTTAATTTCTAGGTTGTTACGGTTAATTTTTAAAAGTAATAAAAAAGCAAGTGCGGTGATATAAGAAAGGCACAACTTGTTAAATAATTTCTCAGAACGCAGTCTGTTATATTAGGAAAATAGCGGCCATCCATAGGGGACCAGAGACTAGAGACTCGACCACCACTTGTGAGCCATTTGCCGTGAATGCTCCTTTGCGATGCATTTAGTCAATTCAGTGACCATCTGTGAGCGACAAGCGTGCTTAGAGGCATTGCCTCTTGCATTAAACATGAGATTTTTTGGTATGATCGTTCACTTCAACTTTATATACGACGCAACGTCTCATTATGCATAACATTTATATGGAACATGAATCTAAGAAGGTTTTAGAAAATATTTAGCCTAAATTCAATATTCAAAGGTTTAGTGTAAGGGAGTAGAAAAAAATAAACTGTTATTATACTTGTTCATAATATATTAGACTAGGTAGTTATCACGTATAATTATAATAGCACATCGCTACTCATTCAACTCAGAATTACTGCAACATTTCCACAATCATTAAGTATACGTTTGGATATTATATTACATAAGATCAGTTATATACATTTAATTACTTGTACGTAGTTTTCTATTTTCCTGTAACAAACTCTTCACAGCCAATCTTAGGTACGAAGCCTGTATGTTCCTTGCATATATATTTTTCAATATTGCTAACAAACATCTCTGTATCAGAGCTGTAAAATCATAAACAATTACTGTATTCTTTTAAGACATCTGCATTTGTTCAGCATTTTTCTTTTGACTTTTTTTCTCTGCTATCCATAAAAGCAACATATCAGGAAGCCACATCACTAGCAATACAACCAAGAATAAATTCTGTGCTGTTATACACACGACGTAACTGCCTGTGTAATCTCTGATCCAGCCAAGGAAATATCCAGCTGGTGGCACTATAAGACCCATGGTCAACATTCCAAGACCAACAGCAGCAGGGACTTGTTCCACTCTGCACTGTTCTGAGATCGCAATATTTCTGGCTACAATCACCATACTTCTACCAAATCCGTACAGGCAAGACATTAAGATTAACACTTCAAATCTTGTTTGGTATGCCAAAACTGAAAAAAGAAAGTTATAATTACCAAGCTAGCTCACTCACTACGGACATAAATTTAGGTTATTTTAGATGAATTAGCAGACTGGAATGAAATTTGTTTAGTACTCTTTGACATTGATCTCCTAAAGGAGATATAAATAATACCTAATAATATATATATCTAATAATAAATCAAAAAATGAATAATAGATTAATCCAAACTCAAAGTACAAGGTGAATTAAGATTGAAGAATTCAATATTTAAGAGCTTAAGGACAAAGTACATGATATTTTATCTAAAACTCACTCACATAAAGGTATACCAGAGGGAGACTTTGTACAAAAATCATTTGCTTGGGTACCTCAGTCCCATTCATGTTTCAACCGTAAAACAGTTGTGTTTGCATGGCTGTGTTTCGGTTTGAAGGGTAGGATATAGTATACTCTGTTATGTCCATGGCACTGCTCAAGACTATAGGCGACGATTACCACTTTCACGTATACATATATATAGGTCTAATTATAACAAACAAATAAACCCAAAGATTTGCCCACGCTAATCCGTTATTTCCGTTTCGTAGAAATTCCGGGAAATTTATACTTAGTGAAGTGTATAGTATAGAAATTTCATATAATGTAGTATGTTATATGAAATTTCTAAGTAAAACTTTATGCTTGTAGTAATGCTTTAAGCTGTAGATTAATTGTCAATGAAAGCCTGAATTACATTAGATAGATATTTTACTCTATTTAATAATAATAAGAACCTTTTTTTTTTTTTTTATACGACTTAGAATGGCAAACAAGCTGACGGCCCACCTGATGGAAAGTGGTAACCGTCACCTATAGACATGAGCAGTACCATGGACATAACAGAGTATACTGTTTCGCCCATGATACCCCCATGCGTTGCCATTCCTGAGGACTCAGGTGTTATTCCTCTGTACCCAGTAAATTCACGCCATATCCCACCCTTCAAACCGAAACACAGCCATGCAAACATAACTGCTTCACGGTTGAAACACGAATGGGACAGAGGTACCCAAGCAATCGACTTTTGTACAAAGTCTCCCTCTGGTAAAACCTGATCCTCAAGCTAGGATACCCTGTATCATGAGACCAAGTATACCAGAAATCTCAGACCTGACACAATCTACAAAAGTTCGTTTTCTAAATTTACTCGATAGGCAATCGAACCTGGAGCCTCATCTAGATAAAATAAAGTTCCCACCACTTTGCCACGAAGGTAGTCTATTTATTATTTTATACCACGGAGATGGCAAACAAGAATACAGGCCGTCTGCTGGGAAATGGTAACTGAAGCCTATAGACACTTGCAACACGAAGTGTCACGTGCGCGTTATCGACCCTAAAGAAATCTTAATATAACCCTTTTTAAAGAACACCATACGGTAGTCTCTATGAAAAACCTCAGCAGGGAACTTATTTCACTGCCTGAGCGTTTGAATTAACTTATTATCTATTGAAATAATACTCACTTTGCCTGGTGATAATCAACCAAACAGAAGTCAATATTAGCATCCATCTAGCCTTTATCCTGTACTTGTCTTGGAACACCGGCAATATAAGACGACCACAGATATCCGCGCTCGCGATTGCTGACATGCAAAAAGCTGTGTGTTGTTTATCCAACCCAGCTACTTTCTGTCAAAGAGATAAATGATTTAATTAACTATTGACTTGTTTAAAGGAAATAATCACATTGTTAAATAATATGTGAATAAAACATCTCAATTCAAATCTCAAGTCAAGAAGCAAAATTATTATGGGATCACTCGATTCAACATCATAATAATTAGTCCTAACGTCCCACAGCTGGGTACTACTATTTATTATCGTATAAATAGATAGATAGACACTCTTTATTGTTTCTTCTAGATATAAATAATTACAAGAAATAATCACAGCGAGAAAAAAATACAATTATATATATATATATATATATATATATATATATATATATATATATATATATATATATATATATATATATATATATATATATATATATATATATATATATATATATAGTTTAAATTTATTACGCTGGCCACGCGGTTTCGTATACAATTTTATTTGGAATTTCCTTTGTCTTGTATTAATGCATGGTTTTTTTTATAATCTTTCCTCAAAATGTGATAATATTAACATCTTGTCAAACAACATTCAAGAAGTAAATTAATGGAAAGTTTCTCCAATGACTGCTATTTAAATTCATAAATTTCATTATTGAGATTATTGAACTACATAAAATAATGCTGTTTGTTAAAAATAGCATTGTACTACAATTGTTTATATTTCAGCTACATAAATTGTCAACAGATATTATTCAAATTAAATAACTTTCTTAAACAGCAATATCGTGTCAGCCGTAGTCATTAAACTCAATCACGCTCTGTATAAATAGGTATAATTATAATAATGATAACCAAATATCTTCACAAACTTTTACAACATAATGGACTTTATTTTATTGTAATACTGTTAGCCAAGGGATCTAATAATACCTTCAGGATTAAAGGGATTATTTTAACCTTTCGACTCAGCTTACAAAGAATAATTAAGGATAAAGGTACCAAATTTCATAAACACAATATTGCTTTCATCCTTGTATATCTTCCGATGTCCTTGGATATCAGATAGGGCAATTTTTGAAACACAAGTTTTAATAAAGATAAAATTATAATGAGAGGTAAATCTTGATTTTTACCTGCAGGAAAAATGGGAAGAGCATGCTGAAGTTTTGTATCGATGTAACAGACAACGCCGTCCCAATAATGATGTTCAAGAAACGAGGACTCGATAATAACGAGATATCGAATAAATCATATAATTTCTTTAGCCAACCTTTTTTCTGTGTAGGTTCTGGGGCCGATTTGTCTGGAAAATAAATATACATCAATACAATAAGTATAATTAAATCATAAGAAAGTTTGTGTTTGCGCAACAACTTTTTCTTTTATTTTTTTAGAAAAAGATTATATATTTAAGGTCATCAATTTTTTTTTGTATAATTATTATAGTCAATGTATGGAAATTTTATTGTCTAACATCGAATTCTGATAAAGTGCTAATTTACATATATACTTCAGATAAACCAATATTTTTGTTGTTAATATAATATGTACATCATAAAATATATGAAATGTCCTAAAAGTATATTTCGAAGAAGTGTGTTTAAAATAGTAACATGTACTTGTTAGTGCCATTTTCTTACTAAAATACAAATCGATATCTGCATGCATTATATTACTTTCATTGTGATATATTTCTAAAACGATGATTATTCTTAAATACAAAGCAGGTCAAAATTATTAAAAGGTATCATGTAATTTGATAACAGAATAATGTGTGTATCATCAATTGATGTCAACTACATCATTAAAATGACATTTATTATTATTGTTTATGACTGTTGCATTGCGTAAACAATACAATCAAAGCAAACACATACTTGGTAGATTATTATTGTGCATGATTTTTTGAAGAACCAAATATTATCAAAAAATATTTCGTGAGATCATATTTAGTTGTAATAATAGCTGTTAGTTGACATAGACTAATTAATACTGGAATATTATAAGCATGTAAAATCCAAAACAATAATAAATTGCCAGTAAATTAGACTGTAAATACTCGTAAATGTACTTATAATATTTTTTTATAAACTGGTCAACATGGAAAACTATCTTTTATATATCTAGGAATTAAACAACTTCTCTTAAGCAACATAAGTCGAAGTACAAAAATATTTTGGTAAATGTTCCGTATAAATCTCGTAGTCAAATTTATTATTTAGTTTAATGGATTTAACTATAGTATATTTTTTTAGTTTCATGAATACAATTTTTCATTTCAGATCATTTCATCTATTAAATTGTACCACGTAAAAGATTTTAAAATTATTCGTAAGCATTAACTTACCGTTTATGTCATTCACGTCAGATACGGAGGTTTTTACCAAATTCAATTCTTTTACATTTTCATTTAAACTAGATTCTGTACCCCTCCTTTCTCCATTTGCAGTTATTTCAGAAAGAATTTTAGAATCTTTTCTTATAACTATATTTTTGTGTTTCTCTTCTAATAATTGCAGCTTTTCTTCTACTGTGACTTCTTCTTCAACTTTTTTCATATGCCATTCAACGGGATGAATAAGTAAACATCCACATATCTAAAATATAAGTTTATTAACATTACTTCATTTTATGTTTATTGCACAAAAATTACATATAATTATTTATATATATATATATATATATATATACATATATATATATATATATATATATATATATATATATATGTGTGTGTGTGTGTGTATGTATGTATATAAATTCTATATGCACATATTGTAGGCGCTTAGAAATAAATTGTAAGACTAAAACAACAATATTATTAAATTATTATTATTAAGAAAAATTAATGGCAACATCGATGGTCATTATAATTTTAGTAATAATATATTGCATACATATATTAAATAAGTAATTATCAAGGGTGGATTATACTATAAACATAAATAAACGAGTAGTTACCCCATGCAAGCTCAAAGAAGACAGAAGTAAACATGCGCCTTGGAAACCGTAATTTTCCAAGAGATATCTCACTAAATGAGGCATTAAAGTCTGTCCCACACCTGTTCCCACATTTGCCAAACCTACTGCTTGGCTCTTCCTGAGTTTGAAATAGCTATTTATAGCCACAAATGACGAATTCTGAATGAAACCCAAACCTAAGCCTGGAACAAAATTAAGGATTATTTATTTATAAAACTGAACTTAAGTGCCATTAAATTAAATTTTAAATAAAATGTTTTAAGGTATCCTACCTAATAAGACTCCATAAGTAAATGTCAAGTGCCATATATTTGTTGAAAAACCACTAAGAAAAATGCCTGTTGTACACGAACAGGCTCCTATTAGTGCCACTATCCTAGGAGATGACAATTTTACTATTGCGCCAGCTATAGGTCCTCCAAAATTTGTAACAAATAACATAGTACTTAAAACTACAGCTGCACCTTGTGTCCTATGACCCATAGCCTCTAGTGCATCTCCATATAATAAACTGAATAAGGACAGCATTGATTGGTTAAAAATCTGAAAAAAATAAAAGTTAAAATTATTTATTCATGAAGGTTTTTTAACAGATACAAAAAGTAGGCGAAAAAAATATGTATGTATTTTATTTTTTTACGCTTTTATATAGTTTATTAAGAAATTTCAACCAAGAAGAACTAGGTAAGAAATTTGATTGTTTTCTTTATAAACAAAACGTAATTGCTAACAATTTTTATATAACATAGTTAATATATTCAATATCATGTGCATCAATAACTAATGTCAAAGCAGATACCTTAATGACTTTTAATTTTCTCAGTAAATTTTATTAGTGAAGGTTTTAAATTTATGAAAAGATAGACAGATAAAATATCATTAAGTATTTTTCATTGTAAAGGTTAGTGCACATTTCCGCAAAACGCCCATTAAGTTTTTTTGAATATTGCTTTGGGATACCGAGCTTAAACTCATAAAGATTTCAGACATTTATAAATAATAAAAAAAAACTTCATTATGTACGTTGTTCTAATATATTTGGATGGCCATATAAATATTACTAAATGTTAGATATAATAAATGCGAATCTCTTGTTAATGTAATAATTGTTTACAATATGTTTTATGACAGTTTTGATAATAATATATTTATGAGATGATAGTTCTATGTTAATATGTAATATACATATGACAGATGGTAATTATACATATAATATTTTAATTTTGGAATAGTTGTCATTATTTTACTGTAGAACCTTTATCGCTTTATTAATAAGTATTTTTATATGTACGTGTATTTTCAAGGGTGAAAAGGTTAAAATATACTTGTTATGAGTGTTAGGTTTGACCTTTGATCAACTTCAAAGCAGTAACCATATTAATATATAACCACAATAACCTATCCAAATAAAATTAATTTGAACAAAAGCACTGAATTTTATTTTTCATTTACTGTATTTTATCTTAAAATATCAAATATACTTATGTAATTCAATCAATATAAGTAATAATCCAAATATTTATAAAATATATAAAAAAAATATCATCACGTAAGTTTGATAAATCGTTACTAATATTATAAAATCTTGAAAATGAGTTTGTTTGTTACACACATTTTGAATAAACGTATTATATGGGATGTAGAAGGATATTGGCTACTTTTAATCCCGGTCAATAAACATATTCCGATCATGTGGACGAAGTCGCGGATAAAGGCTAGTGAATCTATAAATTATTTAGAGCACATAATGGGGACAATTCTAAAATACAAAAAGTAAAGTAAATCATTGGTTTTCCCACGATCGAATTCGGTATATTCTTGTAGAAAAAAATATTAAATTATTATTATAAATTAAAATATAGGTAAGTATGATGTAAGTATACCATAAAAAAAAATTATCTTGTACCATAGAAATCGTTTTTATTGTTACACTAATACATAATAGACAATAATGCAACATGTATTACACACACTAGTGATAAATCAAGTTTATTTCTAAATACACAGCAATTACAACAATGTGACTTTGGACAAGTTGCGCTCATTAGTATCGAGTCACCAATAGCGAAGGAATAGGTACGTTAGGATAGCGTCTATGTCAATGTTGTTAGAGCAAAAGTTATTATTTTGTTTGGAAGAAAGCAAATTAAAAATATGCTTAAAATATAACTTTAAAAATGTACTTGAAGTAATTAGAATTTTAGAAGTGTTCTATACCTACATTTGACGACGTCTGCGATTCGAGTCTCGCAGATACTTGCACCGATAGGACGTAATTGTTAAAAAAGTATTCACCGTTATGTATGCAGCTGGTCAATGAACTCGTGATAGGTGGCTGGTCACTAAAACATGTGATATGTAATGACCTCAGAACACAGAGTACCGTTTACTAAACTACTGTATGGTACTGAATGTATGACTAACGATTGCGATACTTGGAAAATTTAGAACTATAATTGTCTCACATGGGTTATATTTACACTTAATTTTTGCTTCTGATACAGAACGTCTTTCATCATGTACAAAAAATTTAATAGATTTGTATGAGATGTTATTAAAATTTAGATTTATTAAGATATCTTATGAGTAAATATATAATGTTTTGTCATCAGCCATTTGGATGTATATTAATATTTTGAATTAAATTGTTATAATAAATAATTTTATTCTAGCTTTTTATCCATATTTATTTATTTAAACTTTAATGCACAGTGAAATTATATATACATTTGGCGGACTTAATACCAGACTGTGTTCTCACCAGTCAACCATTAGGAAAACAGAGAAATAAGTAAGATGTGCATTATTAAATCGAGAAAAGTAATACTTAATATATTTATACACTATATACATAGATATATAAACATACACATAATATGTTGAACAAATAATATACATAATATATTATTTATTTGACCATATAATGATGAAATGAATAAGACAGTAAAATAGTAGCGCAATTGTAGTAATGCAGTTAGGAACGATGGATGCGGTGACATAGTATATTATATAGAAATATGAGAAAGATTATTTAGTAGTAAACGATTGGTTATTAGATAGTTATATGATAATAATAGAGAAGACAGTAACTTATATTAAATTGTAATAAAAAATTTGTTATTAGAATCGCAAAGAAATTAATATTTGTTCTTATTATAGAAATATTTGCACTTATTATGTTTCCATTATTAGTAGCATGAAGCGTTTATTGAAAGTCAACAATAACGGACAATTGATATTTTAATAAGATATGAAAATAAATTGGAATTTATATTCATAATTTTGCAAAAGATGAAGGCGTCTTATCCAGTCTAAGAAGATTCTCAGAATTGAAATATTATAAGCTTGGGTAAAATTACATTTAATTATAAATTTATTTAGTTTCATTTTATTTACAAACTAGCTAGAGCGACGACTTCGATCGCGTCACTGACGTATATTGATTAACCAAGAAAAAAAAATAGTTTATGTCCCTCTGAATACCGAATACTACATTAATATCGAATTGTAGATTCGAATCGACTGGTACATCCGCTGGGACCTGAGTAATAGCGCACTCACTTCAAAATTTGAAATATAACTAGCCACGCCCGCCACTTTTGAAGCATTATTGGGACAAAAATTGTCCTTCTATATACCAACTGCTACGTATATGCCAAATTATATGACGATAGGTTAAGCCGTAACTAAAAAAACAAACCATCTTATTTATTACTACCGATTCGACTCAGTTTCACAGGGATAGATAGAATTTTAGAAAATAATATATAGCCTATCTTGCTCGCCAATGATTTTTATATCTTAAATAATTTTCTAAAAATCGATTGAGTAGTTTTAAGTTTATCCATTACAAACAAACAATCAATTTTTTTTTTATAATATTAGTGAAGATATTAGCGTAGCGTTATAAATAGTATAACTAAACCATATACTCGTAGACAAAATTAGAATAGACTTTTTTTTACTTTTCAATTATTATCGTATTGAAAGATAGAGATAAAAATAATTAACATGCAAGCTGGTACGTATAACTACGTGTTTCGCTTTGTGAACTTTCATGTAATGGAATGAAAGGGTTAATACACTCATACCAGCTACCACCACAATTACTACTTCACAACCTCTGCGAGGACAGCGTCTAAATTTATTGGAGGTTAAGTAAATTAATCTATTACGTACTCACATTAGAAAGTGCTGTCCCCATCAAAACCATCCACCCCCATCCTCCATCTGGCGGTACTAATTTAGTTACTTTCTCCACCCTCGATGCTGGCATCAAAGTATTCTTTTCTAATGACATCTTTGTATCGTTCAGTCTTAACGGCTAATCATAATATTGAATTTGTTCTTTTTGATTCGTTATTTTTCGTCTTTTAGTGAGATCTGAAAATAAAATAAAATTCCATTAATATTATAAATACAAAAAATTTGTAAGGGGCGATGAATATAGGTGGATGTTGTTATTTTATACAAAATCTACTGAATGGATTTAAATGAAATTTAATACATGGATAGATTAATTACTAACTTACTGTTTGTTGTTTCGCGAACGCAAAATCGCGGAATACAACTTACGAATAAAATTAATAAAACTCAGAAATAGGAAATAAAATATCCTAAAAATACATGTTTTATTTATGTATTTTTCTATTATTATAGCATTAACGATACCTCATAAGAAACTACTTACTTCCTTCATAAATCACTTTGACCGTTACAAAATTGCTTAGCTAGGCGCCACGCATTATTATAAAGAATGTTGCTTTTATATTTCTTAAATTAAAAATCTTTTTTCTGAATAGAAGCAATCACGATCAACTTTAATATCTAAAGTGTGATGGTAACACCATTTAATTCTATTTTAGGCATTGTTTAGCTACATATATATACAATAATATAATTAAAGTTTTAAATTATTTGTATCTATATGTATATAGGTCTATATGAGTGAACTTATAAATATTTTTTAATAATTGTAAGTACTTGAAGTTGTTTGTATGAAAAATTGTGGCAAATGATAATATAATTTTTGTCTTTTCATAGAACTGAATACATTATTTTGTTGTCTTCATATTGTGATATTATTTTATTATATAATAACCTCTAACTTTAAATTATATAGATAGAATGTCTCCATAGAAATGTCTCAAGAAAAACGGTACAACTTTGTCATAAAATTTTACGTGAAAAATAGTTATAATTGATTGCTTTATAAGTTCTATATTTATTTTGTTTTATAAGTTCTACATCTTTTAAATTCGTAAACACTTATTTTATTTATTACATAGGACGTCAAGATATACTCTATACGTAAATATATAGAATACTGATAAAAAAAACGGGTCAGTTCATTTGAAATTTAGCTGACTAAAAGTTGAAGTTGAGAGTTGAGTTTTTGAAGCTCGATACTCTATCTATATAATCTAAGCCTCTAACATTAATGAATGTATAGTTTTGAACTCCGTTTTTAAGATATTTAGTTTTTATTATTAAACTTTTATTTAATCGTTTCAGAACTAAATTAGTTTTTTAAACAGAGTAATAAGTCATTACCGTGTAAAAAAATAATCATAAAATAAAAAAAGTATAGTACCATATTTATTAATATCACGTTTACTTTGAATAATAATGATGCAAATTTTAGTAGGTGAGTCAGTGATAAAATAGGTTCAATATTCGACCCTCTTATCTTGTGGTAGTGACGTTCTTGGGTAGGTCTCCATTATGTAATTAGAGTAACACAAATATTAAGTAATTAGGTTAATTAATAATAATAAATTTGCCAATATTTAATTAAGGCTAGTACAATTATATCTAGAAAATTAAATTACGGTTATTCTATATCTAGGATTCTACCGCTACTAAGTAATTACAACATTTAAAATAAAAGATTTGTCTATCTTCTCAACATTATATATTATACTCATATAGATTAGGCCAAGAAAACGCAACATCAAAGACCTTTTCTTACTTTTTCTATTTTCCTAATTTTTTTTTAATTGTAAACTAGTACCTTATTGGACACCATACTACCCACTGACATTGATTTTTTTTCGACTTTTTGTTTGTTGAAAAATAATTCGCGCAGAGTTAAGCTTGCCTATTTATTTATATTTTTTTTCATTATTATGTATCTGTATGTATATTAGCGTGTACATTAAAGTGTAAATATAAATAAATATATAAATATTATTTTATGAAAGGTGATATATTAATACCTTTACTTCAGCTGATAATTTCATAGATTTAATATGAGGCGTATACATTTAAGCACATAATATTATATTAAACACGTGCTTTACGTAGATAATAAAACGTCTCTAATCTTTGCGTGCAGTGACAGGCAATAACAAAATATTTTTTTCATCAAAAGATATCGAACGGAACTATCCACTACTAATATTCATTATCTCTAGTGGGCGGTCAAAGACCGTTCATGATGTTTACATAATAACGAACAATATAGTACAAAGGTTATGTGCAGAATGTGCAGAAAAGTTATAGTATAGTACAAAAAGAATAAATATTCAGGTAGAAGTGACACTGACGTACTTTTCTTTGTAAGTGCATTCGCTTCTAAAATAAAATATGCGGTTATCGTATATCCGCGACATTATCACTTCCACCCAGTATTCCCAATTTTTATGTTTGTGAGTTTTACTCGTATACTTGGCAATAAAATTTTGCTTTTAATACGCTGAATGATCCCAAGTCACATTTTGTAACGAAAAGGCACGTTAGCACTCTCTTGGGCATACTAATTAAGATGTTTGGCAACATTCGTCTTTATATCTCTTTCTTTAGGTTTTTCCGGTAAACTTGGCATCAATATAATGAAAGGGTTGTTTTTGTGTTGTTAGTAGAGTTTCACAAGGCAATATTAATTATTATTGCGTTTAGCAATTATTGAACACTTTTACATGCTAATAGCAATTAAAAAAAAAAAAGAAAATTCTCAATCTTAGCTCAAGTTCATAATCATGCTACGCAATTTCATCGCTTATTTTATTAATTATGGAACGAAATGCTTACTGCGTTACTTTGTATACATTTTATATAGTTCATTTTCATAGTGAATATCTTGTTGGTTGCTCTAATAAATAAATAAATAAATTTATTTCTTAATTTATTTATTTTTTATTAGAGAGCAAAATCTCATTTGTTAAAAAGTACAAATTAAAGTGCGACCACGTTCTATTTAAATATATCCATGTTTTTATCATTGTATATTTTGCTCCACAAATGAAATACTTGAAGAAAGAATAAAATATGTTAATAGTCTTGACTGTTGAAATTTAGTAAATAGATATTATAAAAAAACACTTGTACTTTTTCACAAGAAAAGTTTTATAAAAATATTTTATCAGTTACGCCATAAAATAGTTGATAAAATCTTTTACCTTTGCTTAATTGGCTTACTTTTTCCTACAGTTTATTTTATTAATTTTATTTTTAAAACGACGATAGAAGTTAAGAGGCTTACCTATAGTACTTATAAACAGGAAATGATGATGTTTTCAGATGACAGCAATTTTATTAATAAATTTTTATTCAAATTCAAGTACTTCATCAAAATTAATATGAGAACAACAAGAACGTAACGCTTTCCAAATACAAAAAAACTTGTACATAATACTTAATATATAATTGTGGATACATAATTATTAAATAAGTTTTTATGTATTAAATCTTAATAATGTTGTAATTTTAACCAAGTCAGATGGCAGATCAACAGAATTTTGTTATATCTATCGGTCTGGCGTCTGTCGGTACATCACAGCATAAACTTTTACAGCTTATGTTCTATCTTTATGAAACTTTTATTAATGTGATATCCTTTTTGGCACATCTTGAACTCATATCTCTGAAGAAGTTTAAGATTATCGATTTTAGAAGTACTTTTCAATTTAATTTTGATAAAATCTGAGTGATTTATTTTTGTTAATGGAGAGAATCGCATGAACAACGCTACGAAGTATCGCCAAAAAAATTTAAAATTATGACTACAAAAACACCGAATACAATTGTGGAAAATTTTTACTTAAAAAACCGAAGTGAATAAAGTATGATAAAGTTTCTATGGGACCAATCTGAAAATATATCTTATATATAAGAATTTTCCAAATCGATTTATAATTGATGGAATTATGAGGTAACAAACATAAAAAAATACATCGAATGGAAATCCTTTTTTTAAATCGGTTGATGAAATTTATTTACTATCTAATATTCTATTCTAATATAATTCTTCAATATACATGAGAGCATGGTATTTCGTTACTCTATTGCATTCGTGTATTATAGAACGTTCTATGAACGCTTCTTTGTCTAGCGAGAAGATTTACTTTTCCCGAACGCGTTAGCTTGAGAGGTTGTTACCTTATTATCCAAACAAGCACTTATGAAGAAAGATATGTCAAAAATATAAGACACTTTGGATGTATCATGTTATTGAAACTTTTGTTTGCTTACTTATTTTAGATTTATAAATTGAGGTACAGATAATTACATACTGTTGTCTACATCAATTTTTATTGTTATTCTACAATCACTATGTAGATACTAAAACAATAAGCCAGGCAATTTAATAAGTTGTTATTTTTATTTTTTATATATAAATAAAGGTCTTTTTTTAATTACTCATATCATGACATGATGTATGTATAACAGTAGATATGTACCTTGTAATAAATAAGATGTCATTTATAAAAAATAATTACCGATATATGTGAAATAAATATACCATCAGCAAAATATAATTAATATAAGTAGAATTATATACACGCTGACTTTTTTTATTACTTTATATTTAACATGTAATTTTATTATATGAAATACTTTACACTCAAACTAAGCTAATCCTAAAAAACTAAGTCTATGTCATACAACGGGAGATACTTAACATTTTCGTCAAAGTTTTTCTAAAGTTTTTTAACCGAATTCAGAAAGAAGGAGGTTTTCAATTCTAATCTTCGTCATTTGTAAGATAAATATCTTACAACAACAAATAAAAAAAAATATTTATAACAATATACTTACAGGTATGATCCCATAGAAATGTTATTGAAGTTTCAGCAGTTTAGTTCTAACATCAAAATAACTCTTTTACCACAATACGAGAAGAAATCGATGTTTTTTTGTGGAACACAGCCTTAATTTTTTATTGACTAGATTTGACCTTTGGAATCCTATGAGTCACAATCATAAACTACTGGATCACGACGCTATCAGACGATTATTTTATTAAAAGTATAATATTTATCAAATTCGCTGTATCAATGTCCGTTCACCACAATAATGCCTAAGGTATTGAGATCCGCTACAAGATTCTAACATTACACTAATGAGGATAAAATGTTGAACGTTTTAAATTAATAACGAGGTAAAAATATATAAATATAACTAGTTCAGGTATATAACAATATTATCCGGCATTTTAGAATAATCCGGATGTCCATAGAAAAACGATGCCGTGTTACGGGGCTCATACAATACATGGGTGAGTCATTGTACATAATTAGCAAGATGATTGCCAAACATATATTTTAGTAATTACAATATCTAGATAACAAAATACATAAAGACTATTATCCTTGTTAGTTAAATGAATAATAATAAAATGATCGATATGTAGTTTTCATGTTAATTAAAATAAATATGGTGAAATTTGCAGCGTGGTCCCGGCTTAGAATAGGGCATCTTAATCTTTTCTGTATCGTATATCGGTATCGTAAAAGGCGACTGAGGTAACTGAGGCGACTTAATAGTAGAAGAATGGACAGCAGCGTCTCTCTTTAAACATTTCTAAAAGCCTAACTGCGGTTGCCAACCCACCTACTAAGTGTGGCAACTATTTTCAAAACTTCCTTTACGGAAAAGGCTTATGTTGAATAGTCGACAGTTAACGGCTGAAATGATGATGATGAAATTCAAGATATATATTTTTCCCTAGAGAGTAGTTTATGAAGCGCGTGTAACACCACTGATGTTGCAGGTATTCATGGGGTAGGTACGGTAACAGTTTATCATCAAACAATTAACAAAATAAAAAATCATTAAAAATAATATAAAATATATAAATAGATTAATTACATTTACCTATTTATATTTTTATTTGCGTATTGTATAAATAATGTTTATACAATTTCTAAATTGCCACTATCCAATGTTTTTGTCAGTAGTTGTCATATTTGGCAGGCAGGTTGGCGTGTGCAGTGAAGCTTTGGTGATATTTCGAAAGGTACGTTGCTGCTTCTTCCTTGACTATTAAGTTCCATTAGTCGTCTTTTACGACGTTCACGGGAAAAATATTCCATATCGGGACTACACGACCCATTGTATGCTGGGACAACACAACTAATTTTGTTATGCATAATTATCGAAAGTAAAATTCCTACGAATATGTCAGATAATATCGGAGAAAAAATATATTGGTTTGACACTTGATGACACATGATTGCACGGAAGAGAACCAATTCTCTTCCGTGCAATCATGTGTCAAATCAAATGTACTCGTACATAAACATCAGCAAAACCGATCATGAATTTATTTTAATAATTTGTGGTATAATAAAATCTTCTTGTTTTATTATCCATCTCTTATCATTCAATTTATTTAACATGTTTTATATAGTAATCTAGAATATTGTTAACTTTGTACTTACAAAGTTTATTAGAACCCGATCAATCTATTGACTGAGTAACAAATATCTTTACAAAATTACGTTCTAGTGAGATAAGAAATGCATATAAAAATTGTTATGATTCTAGGCCCACTTCTTATCATATAATGTTTTGTAATTATAATCACAGTTTGACATTTTGTAATAGTATTGTTTGTAATAATATTGTTAAATATATCACATTGAATATGTTTTGTAGAATTCGTTCGTACTGCAAGAATGTGCCTTTAAATTTTAAGATTTTCGTTTTAGGATGCTGTAGTCATGGTAACCTTGACTCGATAATATAATAAAATAATATTAATCACATATGAATCCCGCAAAGTGTAGAATATGAACAGAAGATTATTAGAACAGCTCTTTTTCTAAGTCTTGTTCTGTGTCCTTTGCTCTTAAGTCTAAACATTTCATTTCATTTAGTCGTACCTCTTGTATTGTTTTAGTTTTACTTTCAAACCATACATGGGTATTCTGTTTAATGCCACCTTTAACACAAATTCAAATTTTTGTCAAGTTTTTGGTAGCAGTTTAAGGCCCTATCTTTATACTATCTTTTCATGATATCGTCGTCTAACCTTCATAGCCTTCCTATAATTAATACGGTACCGTCTTCTTTATATCTTTTTCTATTTAAAAAATTTTTTGAAAGGATTGCTCGTTCGTATATATAGTCAAGAATATGTCTTCAAATTTTGATATTTTCTCTTGAGGATGCTGTTGTCACTATGGCAGCCATCATACCAATCATTGTAACATCGGTTCGATAATAAAATAATATTAATTATATATGAATACCACAAAGAACATAATAACAACAAAAGATTATCAGAACCGCTCTTTTTCTAACTCTTTGTTCTTAAGTTTAAACACTTTTATTAATTTAGTCGTATTTCCTGTATTGTTTTAGTTTATTTTTTGATAAAATATATAAGTATTTTATTTAGCGCCACCTTTAAGACATGTGAACCTGAAAATGTGATATGTTGTTACTTAACAAACATATCCACAAAATACTATCTACTTTTCTTTGATAAGAAGATAAAAAACGATAATCCGTATACCTTATATCGATAAAGTCTCAAAAAATTAATCGCAGTTTAAAAAGACAAATTTGTTTCTAGGTGTAGGTTGAAAACAGTAAATTCGTATCTGTTATTGTATTCATTTAATATCAGTAATTTTTTTGTTTATAGCGCAGATTACCATTTTTCAAATGAGCCTTAATAAGCTGACCTTAATTACCACTCCAAGATTTATAAAAAAAATTAACACTTTTGTGTTAATACAGAAATGTATAATATGGCCTCAGTGTAACGGTAAGAATAGTTGAAAATGAAGTTTATAATTTTATATAAAAATATATTGTTTACTTACATTAAAACAACAAAAAAAGCATGACTTATAAAAAGAAAAACAAAAAAAGAAAAAGAAAACGATATCAAATCAAACAATCCTTACCTAATTAAATGCATGGTCATTATCACAGGTAGATACTAATGAAAACGCATTCACTAATTCTTTCGACAATTAATATCACAATACATATTTTTTCAACCAAACGTCTGCCGCGTATAAATTCACAGCTGTCAATGAACATTGACATTATGTATCTTTGTTGAGTAAGCGGACACGATAAAATGTTATACCATTGTATCTGATCCACTAATCCAGTCATACGTGGCTTGATATATAAAAAAATGTTTTTATGTAATATACGATAGATTATTTCTATTTTCAATGCAAAACTAGCAGATCAACATGGTTTATTAATACTATTGGTAACGGAAGAAGATAACGACCCACCTGATGAATAATATGGATATCACAAAATGTATTTGGGTATCTCTTTTACTTTTAAAAAATGTTGTATCACTGTTTAACTGATTAGAATTATTTTATTGCCATTTTCAATTGGTACTTGGAGACTAATGGGTGATATAAAAGGTTGTAGTAGAGGCGACTAACGGAACTTTTTGGCCAAGGGATGAGCAGCAGCGTTCCTTTTAAAACATCACCAAAAGTCAAATTTCGACCCGTTTATCAAGCGTAACAACTACTTGCAAAATCCTCCTAATGGTAAACTCATAAGAAACGGGGCCCTTCCTTGTATACAGTGTATCGAGGAGGCCTATCTTCAACAGTGGATAGATAATGGCTAATATATTAATGACGATTATGATGGAAGTTTGTAAAACTTTTGGTAGTAGTAATGGCAGATAATATTCGAGTGTTGGCAGTCACCCACATACTAATTAGTAGCGGAATTAAACAAAATAATTCTCAAATAACCAGTTATCAGAACTTTTGCAAAATATATAGGAAAAGGACATTGGCTAATGTCCTTTTTCTTGCAAAACATCTCCTACCTATATGCTAAATTTTGTAATAGTTGTTTTAGATATAATGATGCCGAAAAGTAACTAAATTTAATTTTATATTTATAATACTTCTTCTTTCTTGCGACTTCGTTAATCTTGCCTGTATTGTTTTATACCACAAAGGTGGCAAAGAAACGTATAGCCCGTCTGATGGTAAACGTTAATTGCGTTATATATATTGATTAAAAGTGGCCTATGGTCATCTTCATCCATATACCTACCTACGAGTATATATCAGATTTCATTTCATATTAAGGGATTCTTAAAGTACCTAGTACTAAAAAGCAAACTATCATGTCTAAAATAATATTAATAAGGTTTACTTTTATATTCTTCGAACAATCGAACTAAAGTTTGTTACAATCCATTTACTACTTCATATTAGAACTATACAACATCATAATCTCCCTGTACCATTATTTCATTTTCAGTTTTCAATATCTGTCAAATTCTGAGAAAATAATATAAATAGTATAATGACAGATATAGAGACAGTTTCGTGAAACGATATTAAAATGGGTTTTTCTTCTCGATGCGAAGATCTCCAAAAACGAGTAACATTGTGTTAATAGTGTAAATTATTTGTGTGCATTGAATTAGTGTGTTACTATGACGTCACTGTATAAAACCTGAAAAGTATGCCATAATGTCAGAGTATAAACATTTTTCACACACCTTTAATTGTGTTTTTGCTATTAGAATAATGTATATTAGAGTTTTTAGCAGATTTCTGTGATACCTTCATATTAACAGGGAGTATAGAGCTGACGAGTATGAGAAATTGTAATTTTTTGTCGTTATTCGATCCATGTGACATGAGAAAATGTTTTACTGATAGAATACTTCTTTAAAAGAATAGTAATGATTCAAGATTTTATGTACTAATATATGCAATATAGATTAATTATTGCAATACACAATAATTTCTTAGAGTATTTGAGGACAGATGAAAATGGAATGGTAATTCTATATACTTTACGTTATTGGTTTACAGTGAAGAGGTACTAGTTAGTGAGAGATAGTTAAAGCCAAGTTAGTTGTCCCATTATGACCAGTACACCATTATGATTTTAAGAGAGGATCATGTGGAAGTCAACTTAACAGTAAAGGGCCTATTTTGAAATGTTTTCTGAAATTTAGGGGCCGAACGAAATACGAATTTCATGTTGAAATTACATTATACATGCTAAATTTAAACAAAATATCGTTACTATCGGTATGAATGCAAATACGAATATTCGGAGTTTAATTTCATGGTTGACCCCAAATCTTAGGGAACGTGCGATTGGTCCCGTGGATGACGATATCTAAAAATGCACTAAAAAAATCAAATCGTTTCAGAATTATGAAAATTCTTTAATTGTAATATTGTTTTGTTTCCAAAATTCTTCATTATTTTTAAATAATCAAGAACTCGACCGAGAATCAAATCCGAATCCTGTTTTAAGTAAAAGATAAAATAACGAAGCAACGTGTTATTATCTATATCTATGAATTCCATTTATAACAATAATAGTTTTTGAAATAAATATAAATAAATAAACCACAGTTACTTTCAAAATGTTTATTATTTTCTGTGTGATATTTATCCATTGTTTAAAATTAAGCGCGTGCTCGTACAATGTAATCTTTCATGCATACCTCATTGTAAAAATGACTAACTTGTGGTTGAATTTGAATGAATTTATACGATTATCACGGATGAGATAAATAAATTTAAATTTCCAACTTATTCGTATATTTTAGTGCATAATTTATTTATTAATAATTTATTTATATTATGAATAGATAACGTCCAGTATAAATGTCAAGAAAAACTTAACATATGAGTAGTCTTTAACATTTAAGACCATTTTTTAAATTTAAAACCCGGTATAGGTAAAAACCCTCACTGATGCTCCTTTCCACTTTAGGTCTGCTGGAAGAGAACTTTTGTAGCATTAAACTTCTTTTTGTACATTTGCTTTCCATCGGCGTAATTCTTTACGCATTATTAGTGTGTACAATAAAATATAAACAAAATAAAATTAATTAAATAATAAGAAGATATAGCGGCCTTACATGACAGTGACTTATCATTATCGAGTTTAAATTTCAGCTTATGTTCTTTGTCACAAATCAATTACAAATCGCCAACGAGTTGCGGCGACTGAAGTAGCTGCTGTATAGATTACGCATTACGTTGACATAGTTCTCTTTAAATATTTCTGCTAGTTGAAAACAACAATCCTTACTAATATTATAACTATGAAAGTAAGTTTGTTTTTTTATTATATTTTTTAAGCTGGGGAGAAGGGATTGTTAGTAATGTGGATTATCAGTCCCATTGCCAGTAATATATCCTGTGAGAATGACCTCTACTTGGTCCCCCTTGGAAACCATCGTGTTGAATTCCAGGTGGGTACATCATGATGTGCTAACTCACCTGCCTTTTCATTCTCACTTAACATCCCTCACTGGTGCCTCGCTAGCATATACCATTAGCGAAGGCGGGGTATTTTTATGTATGATAATGCAGTTATTATCATTTTATTGTCATCCATTAAAAAAACATAGCTTAACCAATCACTATGAAATTTGGTACACAATTACTATATGGAAAAGAACATAGGCTACTTTTTCACCAAGTCATTCCCGGGCATGGGGCATGGGACAATGTCACGGTTAAAAGCTAGTTCAACAATAAACATGTATCCTTAATTTTCTTTAAGGTTATCTTAAACTCTAATATCGATTAATATTTTGTACTGTCCTATAGAACCCAATATGCGAATGTACTTCACACTCTTTGTTGATTTTTAAATTTTATGCTTAAGTAACACCTGATATCTAATAAAACAATCATGATTGATTAGATCCAACGGTTGGCATCCGGTACGAATTGGTAAGAATACAAGCGGTTTTTTCTGATAACTAAGCGATCTTTATGTGATAACTAAGCGAAATATGTATATTTTAGTTTTTACAATTATTTTCTTTCATCACCATCATATCAGCTGTTAATAGCCCCCTGCTGAGCATAAGTCTGCTTCATAAACTACTATAAGGAACAGTCCCGAGCCACTTTCATCGTATATACTTTAATAATCATAAAAAATATATTATAAGTAATGTAATCTTATCATGAAAATTGCTAATTAACTCATTATCCAATACAATTAGTATTACTACTGTTGAATCAACTTTCATAAACAAACACGACATTAGAATAAAAAAACAGGCAAAAAAAAAAACAAACAACTGCTATATGTAAATATTAACAAGACACTAAAATGGAATGAATATTACTTAACCCTATTGAATATAAAACGTAACTAAAGAATCAATATTCATATGGTGAGACATGTAATAAACAGGAAATAATCGGAATAAAGTTGTTAATTTTAAAAGCAAGACAATGGTAAAAAATTATGATTATCAACTGATTTTGATGCAGTTTAACCTAAACGATTAGTTATTTTCATAACAATAATATGAGCATGATTAATAAAATTATATGGTGGATATATCTAGTTTAAGAAATTACATACAAAACAGGTAAAATTTAATTCCAAGAAAATAGGTGTTCGTAACAACGAATTAATAAATCAAATGTGTGAATCGCTAAAACGTTTTTAGAATTTGAATGAAATTTCAATACAAAGACAGAGTATATATATATATATATATATATATATATGTGTATCTATGTATATATATAGAATCTATTATTATCTAAATAAAGAATTATAATATATTATTCTTTATTTAGACAATAAATTTTCTATTCTTCTTTTCCCTTAAACAGTAGGCAAAAAAATCCTCGCTATAAGACTTTTTGCGTCGGGATTATTACTTTAAAATAAAACTTGGTAGCAAACCCGTGGCTTCGGCAGTATAGAGAAGAGGTGAAGCATGTTCTGCAATATCTATTCGACTTCCCCAAAATAAATACTGGGTACTTAATGAGAAATTGTTCTGTACAAAAAAAATCAGAGAGAAAAAATCACTTCATTCATATAAATGATATTACTCTGGTAAAAATATTGAAAATTTGATTTAAACTGTGCAAAAATACAATCGATTATTCGATCGAATATTTAATTAATTTGAACTTAATTCTGGAGAATCCTTGATTGCCAATTCACATGAATTCTCATATCGTTGAGAATGGTTGAACATAAAAAAAATATTCAACGAATGAATAATCACACAGTTTCATCGAAAGGAATAAAATATTTTTTAAAAAGGAATATGTATGAAATGATTTCAATAAAAAAAATTACCTATGCTATTCAAAAGCTTAGTCGTTTCGTTTGAATGAATACATATAACCATATCACTTTGAAATACCCTTTATATAATAGTTTTGGCATTTCTCAATAGAAGTGTCATTTTAGAGAAGTTATTTGAAAATAAAATAAAATATTTTGTAATAAAAACGCAAGGTACAATTTTCAGGTTGGAACGTTCTAAATAAATGTAGGTAGAATGTTCAAATCGATATTACAAAGATAAACGTAGCAATTCCGAGCCAAGAAGCCGTTAGCCGCCGTGGAAACGGGCGACGATGCTGCTACCGACTTACTAAGAAAGGGATGTGCCCCGTGACAAGGCTCAAATTAACGAGGGCCCTGCTTCTCTTGAAATTTACATGGGTATGCATGTTGTGCTAGATAGTACTGTACTGGCAACTGAATTTAGAGTCCCGAATAGTTTGGGAACTACTAGTGTAGCATGCTCCGCATACGGCACTGCATGTAATTAAAGAATGTTCAAATGAACACAATTCGTAAGCACAAGTAGCAACTTGATAAAGGAATTTCCCAGTAAATACAAATATAATTAACAAGTATTTTTATTTCCATCAAAGGTATTTTGTTACAATTCACTCGTTTACTCGTACGGATATTTTATATAAATATTTAAACTCGCCGTGAAATAACGATATTCCATTTCTGTCGTATCGATTTTCCCAACTCATGTTATATCAAATAACAAAAACAATCACGCTGTTGTTATTGTCATTCGATATAACATGAATCTTTACTGTAATATTTGTTGTAGGTTCTTAAATACAGTATACACTATAAAATTAAGTTAGTTTGAAAAAAGTGGAGGTATAAATAAAAGAAGCGGAGTGCTATTTTTATTCCAAAATATAAAAATGTCAGGAAGAATGCAAAGATACAGGACAGGTCAAGTTAGACCTAACATGTCTACTTCATTTTAATACGTAAATTTTGTTCGTGAAAGTTCATTGAAATCGTGGTAAAACTAGTTATTTTGATTATTACAAATTACTGAGCCAATTTTAATAAAATTTGCATGAAATCAATCTAAAAGTATATATTTTAAGATAAAAAATATTTTTATAAGTACATTTTTAAATGACGAAGTTTTGATCTAATTAAAAACCGAGGAGGTCTTTTGATGTCACTTGAAAATGTATTTTACGTAATATTACTTTCAGTTGATAAAGGCCACTTATTAACAAAATTTCTGGGTATATCAATAACTATTGTTGTATATGATATATCAGTGAAAACATTTAATTATATTATGTAATTACAATCTAAGAACGTAATCTATAACAATCATTCGCGAACCTAATTGACAATGTTTTCTTGTTATTTCCTAAGTATATTTTAATAAAATATTGAGTTACTCAATACTGAAACCATACCTATCAAACAAACAAGTTTTTGGCTACTAAGCGAACGCCCAACTTGAAGGAAATGAAAACTGGCAAACTTAAATTGAAATTAACTTCATGATATTTTATGACAGATCGATATTTATCTGCTGCTGTTACATCGGCTATAGATTTTGGAGGTTTTATGCATAATTTATATATCAAGAATCCGTACAACGCTTTTAATATGTGTAACCTTCTCCGTCACACATACTATGCGTATGCTAAATTTCATAACAGTTTGATGTACTGTTAAGTAACAAACAAATTAATAAATAAAAAAAAAAAAAACAATAGGCCATCCTGCGTGTCAAGCGTGGCGACTGAAAAACTTCCCCTATGGGGGAGACTTATATTCAGCAGAGGGCAGATAACGGATAATATGATGAAAAAAACAAACCCACTTTCTCATTTATAATATTAATAAGGACTATCATGCGACGCGAAATTCTTATTATTATAAAGTTATATATAATAACCTACGTTAAGTGTTATAAAACTGTAAGAATGTAGTTTTGCAAAAAATATAAAAGAAAAATCAAGAATAATGCTATCGTCGCAAGTCGCAAACACTTCGGGCGCAAGTTTACTATAATTCAAGTGCAATAAAAATATCAAAACTACTTTCTACAATACATTACCATCCATTTAGTCAATAAATGCTCTATCAGTAGGAGTCCATTTGAATAGCCGCAACGTTGGGCACATGGCGTTCCTTCTATTCGCCGTAACACATAGCTCTGCAGAGCGCTTAGCATGGAATTCGATTCAACTAATGCCGCCTAATCCTGACCGGTAGCACACAAATGCTACGGTGCACTCCGAAAGGCCATGTGCAATTTGCAGCTGGGTGATTGATGATAATCCTCATTGCATCTGCGCAACGAAACAATACACTCAACCATTTTCGATTTTTATTTATGTAACTGCTAAGAAATATCTAAAATGGCTATATATTTTTATCTTTTATTTATAATATGATCAAAATAAGAATAAAAACGGCAATAACCTTCAGCTGTCACCTGTTAGCTGATGAGTATTTAGATGAGTACCATAGGACTTCATGACTTGATGATTGAACAAATGACTACCATGTTTTACAATATGGTACTCGTATTATTTACAAAACAAAGTAGCAAGCACTTGTAAAAGTTATCAATTATATTTATAAAATTTGTACTTTGTTCCACAATACATATTAAATCGCTTTTATTATTTATATATGCAACTGGATTCGAAAATTTATCCTCAAGTCTACTTAAAAAAATTAAATCGTCATAAATGGATACCTTTACAAATTATAAATACACAAATAATGAAGTTTCGATACCAGTCGTGTGTATATGTATATAAAAAAGTATATTGCCAAATAATTTAAAGAATATTATATAATCGAAATAAAAAAATTATCACACAGCCGGGCCTGCATTCGCGTCATATAACTCCTAGTTCTATGACGCGATGCCGGATGGTCCAGAAACTAATTGACAATTAAATCAATTTGTTAATTTTATGGTTAAATTTATAATATATATTATTGAAACTTTCTCGACAATTAAATACGCAGCCCAGTCTGGTTGTTTTTATAATTAAAATAAAATTATAGTTATATGCTGTGTTAACAGCTTGTTGTTTTTTTTTTTAATAAATAGATAATATTAAAAATGTTTAATGAAATAAATACTAAAGATATTACAGACAAACGCTGAAGTTATATTTTATTTTACAATCTATAATAATTTAACAAGGTCGTCTTGAAAAGATATAAGACCGCTATACCGTAGTTATTGTTACAATTGTATCGTTATATTTATTGTTCGTCTTGTTTATTTCCTATATTGTATAATGCAAATGAAGTATACTCATTCGTTCATTCATTCAACTATATTTATAGTAATCAGTATAAAATGCTAAAAATACTCTATATAATTTATAAACATACCGTAACTATTTTCAGTGTTTTAAAAATACAATCGATCTACTAATAATAGTTTACGACGTATTTACACAGGTGAAGTGTTTAATTTGTTTATATCAAAATCATGTATTTTACGACCCATTAAATCATTAACGCATGCTTAATGTCGATGTGTAACTAGAAACCGCTGCTATGAAAGTCACTTTCGATAAGAAATAGGTCAAACTAAAAAACAACTAAAACACTGATAAAAATATATTTTTTATTATTTGATATATTTTATTATTATTAATTGATATATTTTTTATTTATATGTGTGATCAACAAATTCATTTGTAGGTAAGTGCTAATGAGCTCTTTTTCCACATTAATAACATATTAGATCCAAGTGAAAGTGTAATATATACCTAACTATGCACTAAGCACTTTACTTTTACTTTGTACAATAGCCGTCTGCAAATCTGTACCATCACAGATACTATAATACTGGTACCATTGTCCCACCTGTATAGGTATTTTTAAAATATTTTAGTAAAATTTCAAACCCTAAAAAACTTTAAACCCCTAAGCTTAAACAATCCAACCGACGAAAAGACATACGGTGACATGCTATAAATTGAGTCTAATATATAAATGTGATATTATTATATTTTATGGCTTATTTATATTATTACTGTACTTTATATATTTACACCGTGTGATCTGTCATTAATAGAAAAAATGTTTTATCCTTTGCTTCACAGCTAACTGGTACTCGGAGTTTGTGATCGTATTTCACTCCTCATTATCCAGCGAAGCAAAATATTTACTTATAAAAGTACATCCAATGACTGCTCAATACCAATTTTTCAATTAAAATTACGTAAATATGCTGAACCGATATTTAATAATTAAATTAAGACGAGATCCTAACTATATTGGGTATATTAAATATTATAGTCGGGATAATTTATTTGTAACTATTCAATAGTGTCACATTTGAACTCAAACCTTGTTTATATATATATATATATATATATATATATATATATGTGTGTATATGTGTATGTATATATATATATATATGTGTGTATATGTGTATATATATATATATATATATATATATATATATAGCACACCTGCAATGCCGTAGGTGTTGTGGGTGACCATGGGCGGCGGTAGTCACTTAACATCAGGTGAGCCGCATGCTCGTTTGCCCCCTGTGTTGTAAAAAAAAAATTGATTTATTTCCTTAAAAAATAAATAGAACAATTGTTACTGGACAGAATTTACAATATTATTAGTGTCCAGTATGTCAACAAAATAAACTACATCGCTTTTCCTCCGAAGAAAGAAAAAAGTTAATAAATTAAAAACATGATTAGGTAGTTATTATTTACGTGGATAATACATAAACATAAAATTATTTAGTAATATTAATCGTATTAATAAACTTCTGGGGCATAGTAGAAAGACTTCAATTAATAATGCCTAATAATGAATTAAAAATTTTGAATAACATATTTCAGCTTATGAATGTACGATTAAATGAAACGTGAGATTACACTTAACGATTTTATTATTACGTTATAATAGGAGAGCAAAATGTATGTAATATATGAAGATGTATTTAATTTTATTTTACTGTGGTTATACACGTGGCGTGAAATTGTAGCCGACGGTAAATTAAAAGTGTCTTCATACAAATGCATTTATTCCTTTTTCTCCTCTTAGTTCTTTTATTATATGGTGATGATAAAATCGTGACGAAACTGCTTTTAATTTTCTGTCTATATTAACGTGCATGACATGAAATTATCATCGTCAAAAAATTAAAAGTGGTTTCATAATTATTTTTTTTATGCTACTTAGAACGGCAATCAAGCTGACAACCTACCTGATAGAAATTGATAGCCATCGCCTATAGACAGAAAATTAACTGCTCATAGTACTATGGACATAACAGAGTATACTATTTCGCCTATGACACTCCCCATGTAAATTGCATAAATTGCATACATTTTTCTCACTCCGTATATTTTCTTAATTCTTACTGTGGAAACTTGTGATATTAATTGTAACTTGATAGATTTTGATTAATTTAAAATAGATATGAGTACGTATATAATCTTATGTTTACAATATTCAATTTAATCGTTTCCGTTACGAGACATTACAAGAGTTACAGAAAAAAGCATTTTAAAAGCATATTCATCAAGTTCCATGCATTTTGCTCTCCTGGTATGCAATGACAGTAAAATTGTTTAATATTTTGAGATTATGGCAAGTAATACACAAGCAAATTTCAATAATTTTACACATGAGCATTATCTATCGTCTTTACGCATAAAAATGTAGCTTATATATAAATAAATCCCTGTCAGTTGTTCCGTTTTCTAGTGCGCTGAGGCGGAACGGGCGGAAGATACGGCTTCGGAAGTAGGATGGTGTAAGATAAAGAGAACATTTCCTATAGCACGTCTTGGAAGATTTAGCAACATTCCGCGACGGCCTCGTCCTTTTAATGTGCCGCCAGCTAAGTGTAATTCAGTTTTTACTCTTTTACTTTTCCAAGCGCTCCAAAATGAACACGGCCTCGGTTTTTAACCCTTATTAATTTAATTTACTTTGTTTGTTTAAAATAAAATCTGCGTAATAATATTTCAAGTCTCTAAGGAACTTTATTTTAATTTTAAAATTTATGTAATTAAAAATAGTAACTAGTTTTTTTTCTTTTTAATTTTTAAGCGACTTCAACGTTGTAGAGATCGAATGGACAATACGTGTTATGTTTTTGTGTACGATATTTTTGCCAATTATGAACTCATTTAGATAAATCTTTTGAATGTGTAAGATATACTTCTGCGTCTATACTAATCAATATGATACAGAGGAAAAATTTTATTTTACCTATACATTATCAGAGGCTATATTATTTCTGAAACCGTGCGAAGTCGGGGCTGACAGTTAGTTATTTATATATTAATTTTGTAACAACTTAAGATGCTAATCTTATGGAATAAAATTCTGTTATTTATAATGAAAAAAATACATTTGTATTTGTAGCATTAGACAGAATATTCCGTAGTCTTCTTCCGTAATAATTTTTCTCTTTCAAATATTTTCAATGCGATTTTTCTGCAAAATATGTCACTGTTCATTCAAAAGGTACTTGTGTTGAAACAACGAGGAATTACTTTGTGGGAGATACGCAATAATCTATTAGATAAGTCCAGTTATCTAAAATTTCATATTGTGCTCGATGGAATATTATTATTCCGAGATCGAATGCCTATGGCAAAACAAAATCATTACATATCTAATAATATCTTATTTGACGGAACATATTTTTCAATGGCAATTTCAACATATAAGTTTTCTTTCAAGAACATTATGTTATTACCGTTCAAAGCTCAAACAAAAAGATTTTACAATACAATTGACCATTGAGTAGTTATATATATAAAAGGTATTCTGTTTTTATACATTTATATATTTATTTATCTATATTCTGTTACTAACTATATTGCTACTAATATTTTTTATTTATATTATTATTTTTTCTCCGTATATGTTATATTTTATATACAAATCCTACAGATCTTTCTCCTTTCGGATACTCAAGGTGGACTGGAAGAAATCCCTGTAAGGAATAAGTCCACCTGTGTACATTTTTGATATTACTTAATATCTATTTTAGAAGTGAATGTACAAAAACATATAAATTAATTATTTCCAGGTAAAATAATAAACTTTTAATTAGGTGTAATACATAGTTTCATTCGCGAACTAAAGACGAAAATATATTAAATGACTACGGCTAAAAAGCAGTTCACAGTTTTCTCCATGTCATATACTAGGGATTATGAGTATGTATGATAAACCTGACGATTGATTGAGCTATTAATGTACCAAAAGTAACAAATAAATTAACTTCGAGCATAATTATATCCTTATAATTTAAATAAAAAAATTAAATGATTAGTATAAACATCTTTCTTTTTAATTAAATAAAGTATATATTGAATGAGTAAATACATCTAGTTCCTATCCTCTAAGATCGTAAAGCGCATGAGGTAAATTAACAGTTCGGTTAACTTACGTGGCTGTGTTACTGAGTTTAGTGAGCTGATGCTATTAGTCAAGACATCGGAGACTAGTCTACACCCAATTTAGTTAATAATACAGAGTAAGTAAAGAAGAAAAGCGTTTTCATACAATTGCTTACAAATTGCTATTTTATTACATCGTGCCGGCATATTACTTACGATAGCATACCATGCTATGACAGATTATATAATATAGATGACCTTGGTAATAACATACCACCTTATCTTCAAATAGTTGCGAGTTCGATTACCATACGATGCCATCACTTATATTGACGAGTTTTTATGTTTGTATTGGTCTAGCCAAACAATAGATAGATATGTTATAAAGAGGAAAGATTTCATTGTTTGTTTGTAAACGATAAAGTAAAAAACTACTTAATTATTTAAAACTTTTAAAATTCTGTCACCCATAGAGATGGGTGACATAATTTATGGGTACTATAGCTTTCTAGCTATAATATCGGCGAGTAATATAGGCTATATATTATTTTCGAAAATTCAATCTACCCGTGCCAAGCCGAGCCAGATCATTATCATTATATCAGCTATTAACTGTCCATTGCTAAACATAGGCCTCCACCTTATGGGGTTTTGCTAGTAGTTGCCACGCTTGGCGAGCGGGTAGGTAGCCACAGTTAGGCTCTGGAGATGTTTTAAGAGGGCTGCCCATTCCTCGACCATTAGTTTCCTTAGTCGCCCCTTAGGACACCCACGAGAAAGGAAAAGGTGGCCCATTCTATACCGAGACCACACGGGCCAGATCACAAGTGTGTAATATGTATTTTTGAAAAAAAAAAAGTATTCCAATTAGTTGTCTAATACTATTACTTCACGATGTCTTATCAAAATTTGGCCAGTGACACTAACGCGTGATGCGTGTTCAATACGCGTGATTTGTGCGCGCAGATATATAAATTGGTTAATACATTAAATTTATCAACAGTTTAATTAGGTATATTTATGTCTATGTATATGAGTATTTATACGATTAAATATAATGTAATTAATTATGTATAAATTTGAGTTTGTCTAGTTGCTTTGTGTGAAAATTTTCTCAATATTGTACACCGCTCTACCCGCTGACATTGATGCTTCTTTCCACTTTGGGTTTGCTGGTAGAGAACTCTTTTAGAGTTAAGCTCGCCTTTGTACATTTGATTACCTCTGTTTTATAATTAGTGTGTACAATAAAGTATTAAATAAAATAAATAAATATATTTCAATACTATAACTTCAATATTTAACGTGTGTCTTTAAATCAATCCGCACATTTTCATTACTAACCTACCAGACCAACATAAATAATTGGCAGAGAGATTATTTTGTTGTTAATAAAAGTTCATATTTTTTATATTAAATGATTAATTTTTTATGTACATTAAAATTTTATTTTTATTGCCTTGAACATATATTCAATTTCACCGAAATATTTTTGAACTGTATCTAATCTTTTACTTAATCATAGTTTATAATGATATTTGTCTTGTTATTCTATAAATGTAGATGTCTCTTTTGAGCGATTTGCATTGGTATGTAGACAAATTTCACATTACAAAATACACCAAATGTATACTAATTAATAAAAAACATTTCAAATTATTATATAAAAATATATATCTATCCTTTTCAAATGACAAATAGTTCACCATAACATCCTGTTTTCAATATTTGTTTCTATGTAATATCTTAGTTCAATTCTCTCGAATAAATAACGCTATTCTTTTCACTGTCTTTTAATGTTCAATATACTTACATCTTTTATCTCTACAGTATTCGTAATGCTATTATGATTCTTCTGCCATTTCTAGCCACGATTCACTTCCTGTAATATGAAAAGACGAGCTTTCTTCGATATATTTTTATAATTTAGACGACTTACGTAATGTAAAAGCATACGTAATTTCTTAATTAATTTTCAGAACAGCAGCGTTTTATAGGTACCTAGATGATACAGTACAACTCGTATTTTGTGATTTTTGTGACTCTATTCATTTCTATAAGCGATAATTTAGCATTTTTCATCAAATGTATGAATGTATTTAAACTTGTAAAGTTTTTAAGTTGCATAAAAAGTTACGTGATAGACAAATGATACTTAATTTAGAAATGTATGTAACATTTCTAAATTAATCCCAAAGAATTAATTAATTATTATATCAAATCGATTATGTGATATTTTTTGTTAGACTTTATTTTTATGAAATTTCATATGTATGAAATTTTGTTTATATAATAAAAAAAATTGTTTCATAGAAAAACACAGAGTTAAACCGTGGCTAAACCAATTATTTTGATTTAAAAACTAAACTGCTGAACCGGCTTTAATAAAAAAATTATGTTACTAATCTGAAAATATACTTACTTACTTGCCGTACATTTACTTACATACTTGCTTACCATCAGGTATATGTTTGTTTGCCACCTCAGTGGTATAAAAAAAAAGATAAAAGAATCTAAATCGGTTTATAAATGACGGAGTTATAACGTAAGAAACATAAAAAAGTACAACCGAATTGACAAACTCTTTCTTTTTTGGAGTTAATTGAAAAGATGATTGCCTTCCAGATTTTAACGCATAAATTCAAAGAATACAGTATAATTGAGAGCTTCTATCTTTTCGAGGTTGGTAGAAAAAGTTTGGAGGTAGACGCAATTCTTCGGCACCACTGTACCTAGCTACAGATTATTGCGCAGTCAGTTTCATAAAAGATCCGCGGCTCTTTTGAGCGGCGGCATTGATGTGCAGACAGGTACCCGTTGACTAACTTTTCAAAAGACGAACTTCGCAGACGGGTTGTGCTTACGCTATGTCTGGATTTTTCACTGTACAGTTCTTTATAGATTTTTTGAGACTATAACAAAAGGAATCGCTATTACTGAATGTTTCTAAAAAAGATAAACAAACATCGCCACATTGTTCGAATCAAAATACTTTGCTTACAAGACCTATATTTTTTTTCAGATTACATATTTATATTATTTGTTAACAAAATTAAGAAAAATCATACCCTTATTGTGCAAATGGAATCGTCAAAATCGACGCTGGTTTGAAGATGGTTATATAGTGTAATACACACATATAAATAATTCCATCGATTGGTATCTTCTTTCAGAATTTACTAAAAGGATATTTGCCACCTCTATTGCACCGCTTGCGTGCAAATGACTTCATTATCTGCTTTCTTTTACTTTTAAAATAATTATATGCTACGCAGTACTACGTATATCATAGATAGAGAATGCAGGCCTCTCTAACTGCGTCACAAGTACATATAACTTCCATGTGTATTAGTAACAAATATTTTAGATTAGTAATTGATTACAATGCACTTGACATTGAGCTTGACGTTTCTGATGGCATGACAGTTGATAAAAATCTAATTCCTTAATCTATGTGATAAAAATAGCAAATTACGCCCTTTGCCCAGAAAAGGCCGCGTGCGCTCGGCAATTATTATATTATCAATTTTCAATGGATTTGATATTATATCAATTTTATTAGATTTAATATTATTAGCCTTGGATAAAATCTCTATAATTATGTAATATGAATAAATGAGAGGTATATAAAATTACCAAATTTCAGAGTGAAATACCTACTAAAGAATATATTTGAATAATTAGGCAATAATAAGGCTTTTCAATATACTTTATTAGTTGTTATTTTTAAAATAACATGTCTTATTCTTTCTCAGCGCTAACCGAAACATGTATAAAGATACATAAGATAAGTTACCTTAAACAAAAAGATACTGCGATTTTTTTTTAATTTTATCACACTATTTCAAATATCAATCCACTAATCGAACGTATTTAAGTTCCTGTATATTAAATTTGATATGATAACATATTGATAAAATGTTCACGTTACGAATGCATGTTTTAAATTTTGACAGTTGAAGAATTATGTAATAATAATCTAATATCACACAAGAAGTAAATGTCAAAGTAATTGGTGGAAATTTTATAAAGATTAATTATTATAATTAATGTTATATCTGCTGTACATTTTGTATTTACATAATTATTTTAATGTATTTATAGATATTACGTACAAACCAATTATTATTTACAGTTTTATAATAATTTTTAATTAATTTAATACTATGTATCGATATTATTTAATATACTTAAAATGACTGTATAATAATAATAGTAACATGTGTCTGGAAATTCCTCAGATTTAGGTACTGTCAACTGCATAAACCCACTCAAGTGATTAGTGTGACTGTACTGCAGTTAACTGCTTGATACACGTTCGGATATTAATTGTGGCTGCCAGTAGCAACACGAATAATGTTTGTGTAGTATCAGTACCTGAAACTTTAGGTAACATTGAATAACATTAACGATGCAATCGTCACACTTTTGAGTATCGATCGTCTTTTTTTAATGTTCTTGAGATTTAAACAGAGTATAACTATACTTTTTTATTATTTGTAATCATTGATGTTGGCTACTAGTAAATAGTAATAATTATTACATATGTAATAGTGATAATATCTAGTAGTAATTATGTCAATAGTATTTTGCTAGCAAAAAAGATAAATCAATATAGCAAGTCAATCTCTAAGCGGTTCCTTTGTAAACCACATTTACTAGCGTGATGACACGTGATGGACCAACTAACTGGATTTCGTTATTCATTGATACCTGGTCATTATTTACTTAAATGTAGTATTAATTGCCGTTTATTTAAGAAGTGGCTAGTGAAAACAAAACACGGGAAAACGTCTTTACTTTAATACGGTATGACCATATAGCTTACTTTACATTATAATATACTAATACGCTACTTCATGCCCTACTCTCTCTCTCCGAAAGTCAAAAACTATGGCTAAGTCAGAATTTAAAAATGTGATTTTTCTTTAAAGGTACCGCACTACATCAAACATTATACTAAAAAATTTGCAAACTCATAAATGAATATTTGTTATAAAAAACAACAACGTAAAAAATAATTGTTTTTATTACTACTTTACTCAATAGTATTAGATTAGTTTTCCCAAATATTTTGCTAAAATAATAATAAACAGAGAAACATATGAAAAGATAAGATAAACTTGTTTTTCAATAAGATAAAACCACTTGAACCATAGCAGGAACCAAAATGATATATAATTCCTGTCGTTCAATACATATGTTACAATCTGATACACATAATGTAATATAAAACCGATTATATATTAGAGTTGAAACTCGTAACCGGTTGTATTAGAGATTATATACATCAAACGAATGCTACTGAGAGATTAAGGCCATTCGATTTTTTTAAGAAAATATTCTCCAAACTGAATATTATTCCAAAAGATACAAAGGTTGAAAAAGTACATAAAATCAGAGCTTTCTTATACTTATTGAGTTGTTTTTTTTTAAATTATAATGGAATGGTATCCCCGCCTGAGTTATCAGTATATGCTGGCGGGGCACCTGGAAAGGATGATAGGTGAGGATGACAGCATTAAGTTAGTAGTAAGACTGCGTATGCCACGTTAGTACCTATAGTTAGTTTTAAGTTTTCTTATATATGAGTATACAACATATGTATAAAGTAGCTCAACACATTTTGTCACTTATTAGACACATTTCTTTGACAAAAAATTCAGTTTTACTGTTATAAATTTCCTTCTGTTTCCTGTATTATAAATACAGGATACATAATGTAATTTCTAATATAATCAAGTTGGGCATCTTAGAATTCGAAACATGAGTGAAGCCAATATAAATAATTACAATACAATATGACTCTCATTCATTATTCAACAAAATAAGAAAAAGCTCGCTCTGTTAACTGAGCTACTCCTAATAACTGTATAGTACAACATGAAGTTCCATTCTGTAAATATTTCATAAAATTTACGTTGGTACCTACATAAACATATCAAAATTAACTGTTAAAAACTTGTTTATTCTCTTAAAAACTTTAAACATTGCTTCTAGTTTTGAAAGTGTACAAAAAAATTAAATATAATAATTTCGTTACTATATTCTATTTCCAAACAACTGTAGCCGCGTTCAAATTTCAGAACGTGTCTCTTTACCGAGTGTTGCTTGTACCGATAATTGCACATCAGTAAATGGGTACTCCAGAATCGCTTACGACGTGTCTCTGTGGTGCAGTGTTGACATTATTGAGCTGACTCTTGGCCATTTGCGTCGGTTCGTTAACACATTGTACCTGTCTAGTCAAATTCATAAGATATACGTGTACTGTATTTTTGCCAGCTAAATTACAGGACATAAAGGCATAACACCATAATCTTCAGGAATGATATAACATGAGAAGTATCATGGATATCACAGTATATTCTGTAATGATGGTGCTATTCATGTCTATAGGCAACAGTTGCTAATTTCTATTAAATAGGCCGACAGCTTGTTTGTCATACTAAATATCATAAAAATAAATTATAGTTATTTAAAATTAACACCTACATTCTTATTTAGAATCAATAACCGATAGGGAAGAAAAAATCCTGAACGGTGACCCTGTACGGACAAATGAAGTGTAGGACAACCCCACACAAGATAGAGTGACGACCTCAAATACATTGTAGGGGTGTCAATGGATACAGGTGGCTCAGAACCGTTTCTTATGACAGTCTATAAGAAAGACCTATGTTCATTTGTGGACAGATAACGGCTGATATGGTGATGATGATGATGATGATAATTCGTATTTAGGCATATCTGAAAAGAGTATCTTACTCCAGTTACCTACAGCAAAGGCTGGAACATTTTCAGATAGCCTATTTTTCGAACATCGTTAAGGCTGATGTAAGCGTTAACTGTGGTATAAACTACCGTATAATGGACTATTTACAAGTATTATAATAATATGTTGATAATCGTTGTATCTACAGTTGGTACGTAAATACTTACTACGCTCTAGTGGTTTTACTAATTAATTAAGTACTAATACTAACGCGTTGGAACTGTCTATTGTTTATATTTCCAAATTTTAAATTTTTGTTTAAATAGTTGGCATGTTTTATAATCGTTTGTTGAGAAATTAGTAACAAGCCAAGAGCCCAAAGCTGCCAGATCTACGTCATTGTATAAAAACTAAGATTTTTCAAATTTGTGTTATAAACTCAAAATATTTCTAAAAGTTGAGGGCGATCTTATCCTAATATCGAAAATGGTTGGGCTATTTGTCTTTATAGTGTCTCATCTCAAAACCCTCATATATAGGTGCTCATTACATAACAACCCACCCCGTATCACAAAACTAAAAGTTTTACGGTACAGTAAACAAAAGAGAAGAGAGAAGGTACTTAATAACTTCGCCATCTCGGCACTTGGAACAAGGAACAGCTCCATGAAATCTCTATAGCGGAATGAGCGAGTCCATTGATGGCCAAAAAGGTGTGTAGTTTCCAAAGTTTCTTCAATAAAACTTCACTTCGGCAAGAATTCTTTCAGTAAAAAAATTAACTTCGGCGTTTAAACAATTTTCTTACATTTCATTGGACTCGTGAGTAAATAAAACTTTTAATTTTGTACCTTTTTGAATCAAAGATGATTGTTAATATCCTTAAAGATGTATTTAATAAAGGTATTGTGATGGTCCCCCCCTTTTGCACCCCTTATAATAACTACCCTCTAAACTAAGCTACACATGGAAAACCTACAAAGCCTAAGAAAAGCCTACGAAGGCTTTACCTAATGAAATCTATGAAAATATAATGAAAATCTACCCTAAAGAAAGGCCTAACACCCTCAATATAGCCCATACCTATATTACTTTATACACCCTAAACATCTTATAAATCTTAAAAAACCTTACAATAAACACATAATATTGAACAGATCTTTAGTAGAACACTTGATCATCTGGCCAGATAAATAAATGTGTGATCGTCTAGTAATGTAGGACCCGTTGTGTGTGTAATAACCAAAAGGTTCTTTAATTGGTATATGATAGGAGTTAAATAATGAAGATGATTGATAAATCTTTAAGGATTAAGAATAATTAATGAATTATACTCATAATTCATGTAACTAGGAAGTTATGTTAATTTAATAGTAAATTACAGAATAACTGTAATAATAAAAAAATGGGGGAGCGGTCGGGCCCCTCACACGCCCGGACCAGTGGAAGACTTTCCAACTATCTATAACTCTTCCTCCTAAAAGGTAGGGAAGGGTATTACTATTTATTAATGCACTCTGATGGTAATAAGGGAATGAGTATTCTCAGTTCCAAACCAAACATAAGTACATTTACTTCAACATTACAGTGGCTCCACCAGTCCCACGATGCTTCCAGTATAAATTAGTGTTTGCCAGAGGCAAACGGAT